GTTGTTCCCAAATGAGACTTCCAGCAGGTGGCCAGAGGATTGACGACACTCGCTATGACTATTTGAGCTGCACAAAGTCAATGGCAACGATTTACTACTAGGTCATTGGATTTGAAGAGTGTGCCCAGGATTCAGAACTTGAGCATACACAGCATAGCTCTGCCATATATCAGATACGTGACTTTGGGCAACTTATTTAACTTCCGTGTTTCAATGTCCTCACTGTGAAATGAGAATAACAGTGATACGTAATTCACATTATATTTGGTGAGCATTTAAAAAGTTAGTGTATACAAGTGCTGAGAATGGTGCCTGCTACACGATAAGCATCAATGTGTTCATTGCTATTATTATTCTGGCAGTGGGTTGAGGAACTCATGTAAACATAACTGAAAAAATTCCTCCCCTACCTGTGAGGGGGACTTATGGGATAGTGGGGAGGGGACAGGAACACTCACTTTGTCCACAATAAGTGTGTCCACAGTGGGGTGAAAGATGCTACAGGCAAAATGTTCTCATCTCAGATGTGTTCATTTGGGCAATACCAGCACCTCCTAATACAATGCATGGTGCAAGGTAGGTATTCAGTATGTTTGATGAACTAGAATACAGGGACAAGAGCAGAAAAAAATTGCGGGGGTGACAGTTTTGCCATTGTATGGGTTAGGAGAATATTCTCTATCTGGCAAGTTGTTTGCAAGTTTTCCTGTAATAACATTACTTCTATTTCCCTATCTCCCTTCCTTTTTTTTTACCCCTAATGCTTTCTACTATGCTTCCTAAAGTCTGCCCTCAGGACCTGAGATTCCCTCAGAGGTGTTGCCACCTCCTCTTCCAACAACTCTGCTTCTTTCTGATGTTCTGTTAAAATGATTGCTACAGTTGCACCAAATCCTGGGATAAGTTTGAAGCCACCAGATGAAAGAAGGTCAGAGGGGTCTAAGGGATTGCCAGAGGCATAGACAATGCCCAAATTCATGGAATTTTAGGCTCACTGTTACTTTCTCATCAGAGATTTAAAAAAAAATAAATTTATTATTTTATTTATTGATTTTTGGCTGCGTTAGGTCTTTGTTGCTGCGCGCGGGCTTTCTCTAGTTGCGGCGAGCGGGGGCTACTCTTCATTGTGGTGCACAGGCTTCTCATTGTGGTGGCTTCTCTTGCTGTGGAGCACAGGCTCTAGGCGCGTGGGCTTCAGTAGTGGTGGCACGAGGGCTCAGTAGTTGTGGCTTGCAGGCTGTAGAGCGCAGGCTCAGTAGTTGTGGCGCACGGGCTTAGTTGCTCTACAGCATGTGGGATCTTCCCGGACCAGGGCTCGAACCCGTGTCGCCTGCATTGGTAGGCGGATTCTTAACCAATGCGCCACTGGGGAAGCCCTCCCGTCAGAGATTTGCGCTGTGCTCTCTCCTTCCCTCCACTAGGAAGATTAGTAAGAGAGGGTTAATGAAGGAAGCTAGTCCCTACTCTATTCCCTTATGTAACCTATAAATAGATTGTAAAATAATATAATAACCATAATACACTGAATAATTTCTAATATGCCAGATTTTTGCCTTAGAGATATATATCATTGTGAATCATAAAAACTGTGCCAATCATTACCATCACATTTTATAGATGAGAAAACTGAGGCTCAGGGAGACGAGTAATTGTGATCCAGGCATTCAGTGACAAAGTCCAATTAGAACAGACTAAAAAAACTCCAGAACCAATCGTACATAGTATACTACTCTGTGGTCCCACATGGAGGAGTGTTGACACTGATGGGAAACTATGACCATGTAGGAAGGGATGAAACCACTGTGCCAGGTGTGTTAGGGAGGGATGTCTAGGGCCTGGCTGTATTACAACATTAAAATTATGCCACTTAAGTGCTTGCCTACTTAGTCTACAACTAGGGCCTGCACAAAAGCCCAGATTTTTAAAAAAATCAGAAGTATCTTTATCAGGTATGTATGAATATGGTCACAGGAAAAGGTCATAACAGAGAGCTGAAACTGATGGATATCACATAGATGATTATATTTGAGATTCACTAAACTTGTATCAATATTAAGCTGCCATTGAAAAAAGATAGCAAGTCAAACAGATTGAGGCTTACGTATAAAAAATGGATACATGAAGGACTGAAGAAGAAGGTATGATAAAATATGTAAGAAAAAAAAAGACACTAATAATCCCCTTTCCCCAGAAAAACTAGGGTGTAAAGAAAAATCACCTGAATACAGCTTTTGAGCATTGATTTTTCACTGGTTTTCCATAGAGGCTAACTCAATAGTTTTAAGAACATTTGAAAACCCTCTATATATACTACTAATTTTTAGTAATCTACAATGCATAATGTTTATCATGACTATAAAAACATTATATTCACCATTCATATTTCTTTTTATTCATCTACTCTTATTGAATTAAATAATGTTACTGACTACTAGGAAATCTTCCTATGCTACTGAATACCTTAAAGTCATAATTTGGAGGTTACATGCTGACCTTGAGTGGATACATTCTAGAATTTTCCTTTCTACCACCACATGTGTGTCTGTTTAGGTGTTGTGCCCCACAAATAACCACAAGCTTGTTTTGTCCTGTCCAGTGGAGGGGGAGGAGTGTCCCTGCTGGAGGCTGCTCTGTGTGAGAAGAGAAAACATTGATGCTTAAAGGCCTCCAAAGGCACCCACTTAAGCCTCATAACAGGTTCAGGAGGGCTGGTTATATCAGCCTGAAGCTGGCACAGGAAAGACACGATTCAAGCAATCCTTGGCTTGGGGATTCTGGGAATATAAGTTCTACCTTGTGACTCTGTTACAGATTTGACCCATTCGTCTCTTAGTAACAGCTCAGTTTATAATCTAAAGCATTGAGACACACCTCAGTTACACGAATGAGACCTCATGAAAGTCAATTCTTGCCTCCTACTCTTCCAAAGTTAGTGGTTGGAACCCAGATTGGCTTTCCCCCTTAGTGAATGAATTGAGAGTGAGAAAAAAGAAGGAGGAGGAAGAGAGGAAGGGAGAGAAAGAAGGAAGGAACGCAGGCAGTAAGGAGGGTAGGAAGAAAGAAAGGAAAGAGAACGTTGCTTGATCTTGAAGAGATTGAACCTTCGGTGGCAGGAAATTTGGAAGACATATTCTCTGGAGTACTTATTTTACTTCTGGCAGTAAATAAAGCCCTTAGGGAAGGTTATTAATTTATCCGGCTTATTTAATACATTCAGGTACCCTATTTCATACTCCAGTGGCCTGAAACAGTTAATTTACCCTTTGAATGGCAAGAATGGTGAACATTTACACCAAGTCTTGGCACTTTACAATATTCGACAAACATCAGGTATTTTTTGCTTAGGTTTGCTTTATTTTTTATTAATATTTATGGAGAAGGAAAATAAAATACTAATGTTCTGTTGAGGATACCAGGACAGTTGTTGGCTAGGGTGCCGTCTCAGAGTGAAAGATACCTTCACCTAGGGCCCTGATCCTGAGGGAAGGAGACAATGTCAGAAAGGAGAAAGGGAAGGATGGAGATGGAAAGGAGGGAGATGATGTCAAATCCCCTTGGCTTCGTGTACTCTTGCCCTTTTTATCTGGGGTGCAGTAACCGCCTATCTCACAACCTCGAATTCTCTAAACCTCATGTCTGTCTTCTCATAGATGCTTTATGAGCTGTCATGTGGGTGCTAGAATGGGATTCTGGAAATTACCAACTAATTTTTATTCCTCTGGATACATTGGTTGCCTGGCGCGCTAAAATAGTGTGAATTGGTTTTGAAATGAAATGTCACTTGTGGAAGAAAAGCACATAATAATTTGTTTAATTTAAACAATGGGGAGGAAGGGGAAGACATCTGAACTGCATTTCTTATGTAAATGAATGTTTATTGGACTTTCGGATGCTATAGAAATACAACTTCTGTACTGAGGAGGCATGATTACACATATTGATCACGCGAGAGGAATATAGATCAGTACAAAAACTGCTGTACCCTTTAGTTATTTTGGAGACAAACATGTTAATCATGTAAGGTAAAACTGGATGCTGCTTTCTGTCTTTGAAAGCTGTGCGACTGCCTTTGTGTTCCAGGAAATGCTTGGTGCAGAACCATCAGATTCCACGTCTCCTCAAAGAAGAGGTGTGTTGAGGTAGAGATAGTGCTTGGGAAGCCCCAGGCAAAAGGCAATTCTCCTTATTCTTATAGATCCAACAGAGTTGATGAATTAAATAAATAAATGAAAATACAATGGATGGACGAGTAAATGGAGAAATAAAAAATATAAGTGACATCCTTAAAGTAGCTCTTGGTGAGCCCACACTCCTAGATATTCAACAAATTACGTATGGAAAAGAGAAGTTTGGAAATTGTCAAATGCCTGAGGTTAACCACAGTGAGTGTTGGCTCTGGTCCCTCCAGGACACCAGCAACTGGCTGAAATAAGGGGAGCTGGAATTCCAGAGCAGTCCGGGTCTGCCGTTCTCGCTCAGTGGGCTCGGGGAGGGAGTTTAGAGCCGGCTTGCTCCACGGCGGCCCGCAGGCCCCGCACCTCGGGCCCCTCCACGTGCTCTCTCTCCGCTCCCTCCCCACCTCCTCGACTCCACAAGGGGAGGGAAATGAACCTTCAGGTGCGACCCAGCAGGGGGCGTGGGCGAGCTGACCCGAGGGCAGCCCGCAAGTGTCCCGTTGTGTGGGTGTGGGGTAACTTGGGTGGGAACGGCGTGGAGGCCACCACGACGAAGTCCTGCGCCTCGTCGGTGGGGTGTGTGCAGAAAGAGCGCGGATAAATAGGAGGCTCCCTCTTCCCGGCGACACTCGCGTAGCCGGTCGGCCGCCCGCCCGGGGTGTCCGCCCGCCCGGTAGCCGGGTGCCAGCCTGGGGAGTAGTTTTGCTTCCTGCTAGCTCCGGGATTCGTTTCCAGGCACTCCGTCGGGCGCCCGTGGCCCGGGAAGGGGGCGCAGGAGGAGGCGGGAGACTCGTCTCGGGGCTGCTAGGCCCGGCAGCGGGGTTGATGGCCCGGGCCGTCCCGGGCAGCGGCGCCAGCTCCCTGCCACTGCTCGTGGCCCTCGCCCTGGGTAAGTGGTCGCTGGAGACCCAGGAGGAAAGTCTAGGGTGGAGTCGCAGGGAGGGCGAGCCTTCCGCGCTTGGCATTTGGACCCGAGGGGGCCCTGGGGTTGGCAGGGGCGGGTCGAAGAACTTGGACTACTGGGGTAGCACGAGGTTAAGGATCCGGCACTTGGGCACCTGGGGCTGCACCTGTTGCTGCGGCCCTGGGCGCAGGGGGCGGTCCGAGGGCGGAAGGGATCCCGTGGGCGGGCGCAGAGCGGAGGGCCGGGGCGCCTGTGCTCTTGGGCGTTGCGGCGCGGTGCCCGCGAGCGAGGAGGTGTGGCAGGTGGAGGATTTTGGGAAATCCACCAAAGCGGGAGCCTGGGAGACTAGACCGAAAAGACATCCTCTGGGAAGAAGAGGAAAGGGAACTCCTTGGCTTGAGATGCAGGCCGCCGGGAGTGCGGAGCAGGGTGGAGAGAAGTTTGCCTGGGCACCCTGGGCGCGTGCTAGGGAGAGGAAGGGGACGACCCCGGAGAGACGAGAGCTGAGGAAGGCCCGAAAATGAATTATTCCACCCCTTTCTTGCTGGCGAAGTTGGGAGGGGCAGGAGGAGGGAGAAAAGATTCAACTTTTGAGACCTGGATCTCCTGATAGGGAAACAAAAGGAAAGGGAGATGACATATTTTACGGAGGGCAGTATTGATGAAACACATAGCTGCTTTACTTGGAGTATATTATTTCCTGTTTCAAGGAGAAGTTGCAGAGAGAAAACTTTTCTTCACTTCGAAGGTGAAACTTGGGTGGTTAGGTTAAGGACTACTGGGTGTGGTCGGTCACCTGGTGTGAGGGGACAGTGGCTAGTGGGAGAAGTGGTAGGATGCCTGGCCCTCCCAGAGGCTCTCCTCACCTCCTTGGGAGTCAGTGCAGGCAGAGAAAGAGCTGGAACTTCGGATGCTGGGGCAAGTTTATACTGCTGGAAGCAGTGTTCCCCTGCCCCTCTAGTATGGGAAGGTAGCTGGTAGATACTTAAGTGGGAAAATCCTACTACTGCAAGGCATCCCCTCTGCATCACGGTCATTTGTGCGGGGTGCAGGCAGAGGGAAGGGAAACTGGCAATATTTTGTAGTCCTAGCTGGGATGAGGGGTAGGGACATCTGGGCTTGGGGCATCAATGTGGGAGGAGGGGCGCCTCCGCAGCTGAAGCGTCTATGTGATGAGGACACTACCTTCCAGCCTGCAAAGGGCCAGGCTTTCTCTTACGGAGGAAAAGAGGTGGGATCTAAATGGAAGCCTCCATTTGGCTGTGTCCTTGGAATAAGAGAGGTGCCTTAAAGGTGTCATGACCTTGGCCAGAAGTGGATCAGACTTAGATCATGGTTAGAGAGAAAGGACTGATTTACAAACCCCGCAGAGGAAGAGGTCAGAAACAATTTGGAGTGATGTGGAGCCTGAAGAAGGGCAATGGGCCTGAGAGTTAGGCCTAGAGACTATGCTTTGCTAGCATCACTTGGATGAAGCTGGCATTCTCTTCCTCCATTTTATCTGGTCTGTCCTACTGTCAAAGTGTTTACTGAAAATCTGCTACAGTCAGCAAGATGCTAGAGTATATGGGAATGGAGGTGGGAGGAGGGCTCAAGAGAGTCCTAAGACATGATTCTTGCCCTAAAAGATGTTATGTTGAAGTTGGGAATGCAGGACTAACAGATGTGAAACGATAGGAGAAAAAGTCATGAAACCTGCGAAAGGAGAGCTCAACAGGGAGGGATGGAGCAGTGGGGAGATTGCATGGACGACCTGAGTGGGTAGGATTGAAACTTGGTAGGATTTGAAATATCAGTAGTAGGGGAGAGAGGGGGACGAAAGGCGGTACAAGCATTTAGTAAAGGGTTGGTGATGGGAATGAGATTAATTTCCCGGGAAGACAGGCAGTCAGCCTGCCAGAAAGTAGAACTGATGAGAGGCAGACAAATTATGAAGAGCCAAAAAAGCCAGATTAAAATATTTTGATATAAATCAATAAACAGTTAATCACACACCATCATAGGTCTTGAATACAGAGTGATGTAATACGAGCAATGATTTAAGGAGATAAACCTGGCAGTGGGGTGCAGTGTGGGAGGAGGGGAGAGGGCCAGAGGACCTGATTGTCTCAGGTATAATCCAGGCACAAGCTAATACAGGACAAGATTAGGGTGATGTGCCAGCAGAAGTGTTATCGTAGAAATGACTATTTCAGGTTGATGGACATTCTTCCCCATTTACTATCACACGGTACTTTATTTTTTTCTCAAAACTTATCAAAAGGCAGAAATGAAAAAAACAAAACAGAATTCTAATCCAGCGCTGTTGTAACTCAGGGTGACCTAAGTGTGCAACTGCCTTGTTGAATGTTTGGTTTAGGGAATTGAATTCAGTCTCTAGACTCCCTAAGAGGCTCCACTCCTTGCAAAATGCCAAAGGATGTAATTTGTTGACATCAGTGTTTCCATTAAATGGTCCTATTTACTTTTAAGTCTCATTCCTAATTTAAGTCACATGTTATCTTATTTACTTCTTGAAAAGAATGTGAGCAGTGGCTGTGTGATGTTCTAGGTGTGTGTGCGCGTGCGTGTGTATGTGTGTGTATGTATGTCACAGCGAAAGTGCCTTGAGAGCTGGTACTGAGCAGACGTTGAGACCTGGTTCCAGCTTCTGCCATTCTGTGACTTGAGATATCTGTAAGTTACAATTTTCTGGGCATTGTTTTTCTCATTTATAAAATAAACGAGTTGCTTTAGATGAGACTAAGGTGCTTACCAGCTTGACATTCTGCTGATCTTTAATGAACATTTCTACTGGGAATTTAAGAGAAAATTTTTTTACAATAATATTTAACTTCCATTTACTTGTAACGGGTCTTTGTTTCCTGTAAACTTTACCTTAACAAAGAGAACCATGGATGCTTGCTTGTTTGATAAATATGGTAAAGGGGCAATAACTTTGTTTAAAGTTTTTTTTTTTTAATCTTGAAGAAATTGGACTCCCTATTTATTCTGTTTTAAAATTTCTCCCTCTCATCCAATTGCTATAACAAACTAAAGCTAAACTCATAACTAGTGAAAAAGGGAAAAAAAACGTTTCTTTTTAAAAAAATGAGTGAGTTTTAAGGTCAAAAATATGTTCCCCTCCTTATTAAAATCTAAACCATTAATATATGTAAGTTGGTTTTTTAAGTTCTTCTTGAGAATATGAATGCATTCATGATGTAATATCTAGGCTTCAAGTTGTAAAGCAAGTAGGCGTCAGCAGGTAAAATTCTCATTGTACAAAGGAAGTAGCTGAAGCCCCACACAGTGAAGATTTTAGAATGTGCCTCTTCAAATATGCTTTTGGGCTTAGAAGAGCATTAGGAGTTTTTTTCCTCTTCAAAAATCCCAGGTTTCGCAGGCCACACTTGCATATTAACAAGTGTTACAAATCAAATTTTGCTATTGCTTCATTCTCAGTTGTTGTGTGGAAATTCCCAAGTAATTCTGGAAGAAAGATCCCAATAATGGAGACAAGCTTTGTAGTGCCCACTGAAGGTGGTCTTGCTGGTGCTTGGCCTGCAAATATCTGTGCTGAGGTCAAAGGTGCCCAGGACAGAGAGTCCATGTGTCTGTCCACACCCCTGGCACTGCCCCATCTCTGTTGAGACTGCTTACCCCAGTACCCTGTGCTCCTGAAATCCATGGAGAGCCCAGTGGGAAAGCCTCATCTTGTTTTTTTCTCACCCTCTAATAGTAATCAACTCATGAATGTCACTAGGAGGATGAGGGGACAGTCAGAGAAACAGCACCAAGCTGTTGTCTGAGTCACTCTTCTAATCCATGAACCATGCTTGTCAACTTCTCCTCTAGAATTAGTGTCTTCCCAGGAGGGTCCAACTAAGCCAGAATCTGGGCTGCATGCAGTTTAGCCTTAAGCCACGATCCTGATACACTTCTAAAACTGCAGACAAACCCCTGGATCCACAAAGAATCCATATTCCAGTTGGTCAAGAGTCCACCCAAGTAAAATTTAAGAGGAAAGTCATCTGATTAAAACGACTATGCTTTGTACTGCTAATGACTGCAGTTTGCCCAGCCATATCTGTGTCTTAAAAAAGGAATCTTGGTAGCCCAAATGAATCTATAATTGCTAGATTTTAAAGAAATGAGATTTTTTAGATGGTTGGAGAGAGATTGCGTATTTAATCTTAATTTACAGCAGTTAGGTAGTAACCTACTTTGATTATCAGCAAGATCAAGTCAAATAGCAAAGAAGTACCTTTATTCATTCTTTACATTTTTTAGAGGATATGTAGTATATTATTTACCTGACCTGTAGACCAGAAGCACTGATTCCGAAACAGTGACGAAACGTATAACAACGTTTGTGTTCAGCCTTCTTATTTCAAAGTGTCTCCGTTGGTGAGTTACTAATATAGCTTTTCTCTCTTTGCAAAACCATGGATTTACTCATCCCATTAGCCTTATGTTTGAGATGTTGAGATGTCTAAAGAGTTCCTGGCACATAGTGGGAGCTTAAAACATATTAGTTAATTGAATGAGTGAATGCAAGTGGCTGTTTGTGACAATGCCCAGGCATTAAAGGGACAGCAGGTTCAGTAAAGAAAACAGTTCTATTTCTTGTTGGCAAAACATGCCCACTACTCAGAGATGATGTAGAAGGACGTGTTTCCTCATCTCTTCTTACTTGGGACTTGCTTCCCATCTTGATAGAGATCCTTTCACAGACGGACTTTTGTTTGGCAAGTAGTAAGTCTGCTTCTGTTTCTCATGTTTGGTAATGCTACCTATCTCTCATATATTTGGTTCTCCCCCATATTTGAATGGGGGAGACAGTGGGCGATAGGACACTAAAGTATAGTACAATGACATATCACTGTATTTCAGAGGAACCCAGTTCTCCTGACTTATTTTAAAAGCATTTAAGTTCATTCTAGCAGTCTCCTACCGTCTTTGCTTTCTCTGCTGCCTACCCATACATGTGTGGCACCCCAGGC